TCAGGGAGGAAAATGCAGGAGAAAGTGAGATCCTTTTCTCTCTCTCTCGTGTGCCAGGGTTGAACCCAAGGCTTTGTGCCTGCCAAGCACACACTCTGCCACTGAACTACACGACCAGCCCAGCCAAGTTCGCTGCTTTTGCAATCAATCATGAGATTCTGCCTCTGACCCAGGCCCGAATTCCATCTCAGGGGCTGAGATGACACGCCCAAAGTTTTTAGACACTGATTCCTTAGCAGTATTGAAAAGACAAAGCACTGAGGCTTATGAGTAGTAGACTGAAAGATGACAAGTCCAGTTGTCCCTCCCGCTAGACTGCAAGAAGGTCCCTAGCTCAGGGACTGCCTGTTGGTGTCAGCATGTTCCTAGGGCCAAGCCTGAAGTCACCACATGAAAGGAGCTCAGTTAATTGTTATAGATGGAGCTTGAGTCCCTGTGAGAAACGGGCACTAAAGACATTCCTGCTTATTGCAAAATTCTGTCCACCCACTTTCTAACAGGAGTTGAGATGGTGACTCCACTTCACAGTTTATGGATGAACTCATCCACTAAGAAGTGCGCGTTAGCTTTTTGGTGTGAATTTTGGGGTGGTTATGATTTTGTAGGGTGTTCTTGTCCCTATAGGCTCAGAATAGGAGGGTAAGTTGGCTGGAGCAGTTGGCTGTGTCAGATGTTGGATATCGCCTTCTGAGCTTACAACAGAAACTGCACCCAGAAGTGGTGTCCCTGGGCAGGTGGTGCGGGTAGCTGGGTGCCCGAGATTGCAGCTCCCGGGTCTACTCAGCATAATCCCGTCGTGATAACACAAATGAAGTCACTCATTCTTGGATTTGACATATATAATATATATATATATATATTGAATTCCAACTCTGTACCCAGCCTTATTCTGGGCACTGGGGATAGATGTGAGTAAAGACAGAGAAAGTGGAGAAACAGGTAAATCACATGCCAGGTGCACACACCTCTGAAGAGCAGTGAGGGCAAGGGATAGAGATACTGCCTTGGGGACCATTTTAGATTGGTGGTCTGGGGAGGTGGGTGGTGTTTGAGCAGAGAGCCAAGGGAGTATCCAGAATGGATAGAACTCCAAGAGGAGGAGGTGGCATGTGTGGGGACCCTGAGGCAGGAGCAGATTTGACTCGGCTCCCAGGCCACGTGGGCAAGGGAAGGGGGCAGGAAGATGAGCTTGGAGAGTGAGCTGTCTTGGCACCAGGAGAGCGTCGCTGGGCAGGGAGCATAAAATCCCAGCTTTGCAAACTGTGGTGGACATGTTCAGAGGATTTTGAGTAGGGGGTTAGAGCTATGCTTTCCAAATTTTGTTCACCTTGTATGAAGATTTGGTTGTAAAGGGACAAGCATGGGAGCTGAGAGATTGGTTAGGAAGGTGGGACAGTTGTCCACTGTAAGGTCAAGATGGCATGGACCCAGGCCAGGCAAGGAAGTTGGTGTTGCAGGCCTGTCTACCTCCATTCAGAATGAGCTGACCCCTCTCTGACTTCATGTGCTGCTGACTTTCCCGTGGTTTATTTTACTCCAGCCATACATGTTGTGCTGTGTTTTCCTCAGATTTTTACTTGCTCTGTTTTAATATCATTGACTTCCTGAAATTACACACATACATGCCTGCATTCATTCTCCCTCTCCCTTCATCTCTCTTTCTCTGACACACATACACACACCACACACACACACACACACACATGCACACACACGTTTGCTCTTTTCTCCTTTGATTCTCTTCCCTGAAGACCTTTTCAAATGTATTTCTGTACCCAAGCTGCCTAAGATGTTGCTCTGAATGTCATAGGTACTCAAAACATTCATGAGTGAATGAAATGGATGAACGACCAAGCGATGTCCTCATTATATAATTTTATTAGAGAATTTAAACCACCATGACTGCCTGAGGTTTTAATTGGTGCACTCTCAGTACACTGAAAACATCAAACCAGGACATCACTTTAATAAAAGTGAGAGAATATTTAACAATTTAGAGTTTAAATAATGAAATAAGTAGGGGAGAGGAGATTTATGTCAATTGAGGAGAGGTTCAGCCTGCAATAAGGGGAATGATGGTGATGATAAGGAACAACTTTCACCTGTTCATTTACTGCAGTGAAATTTGTCACTTTCATTTACATTCAGCACCATGCAGCTATTAATTTGTGTTTTTGCTGGAAAAGACTTTCAGAAAAATAGTTAACCATCTTTAGTGCTATGTTCTCGAAATTTGTTTTCCTGAGCTGCAATCAAAGCAGGATAATTCTGTCATCAGAAGGCTTACCTTCTTCCCCAAGGACATTGGCATGTGGCCACTGTGAGGCTAGAAGGAGGGAGCACATGGGGATGGTGGGCAGCCAGCAGCCAAAGCCTGTGGCTTTGGAGACAGGAGCTTCTTTTGCCTCTACCACGTGGCTTTGGGAAAGTCTCATAACTTCTCTGTGCCTCAGCGCTCTCCTCTATAAAAAAGGAATGATAATAGTATCCATCTTATGAAGTTTCCATGAGGATTGAGGAAATACATGCAGAAGGTCTTAGAACTTTGTCTGGGATAACAAGACCTCAAACATTGTAGCTGTTATTAAGTGGGAGAAGATGTCTAGTGGTTAACAGTTGCCGTCATTGTAGCAGATGAAAGATCTGAGGGCAGAGCATTTGAATTGACTGAAAATGGGAGAGACATGTTCTGATACACACAGGCATAATGCAGTACAGCTGTGCTAGTCTATACCTTATGAGTTAAAGGATATGGTCCCCAAACAAATGGCTCCCCTTCCAATGCCAGCTACAAGTTGGGTCCCAGGCCGTTCACATTTCTGACTGACTGGCTTAAAGTCTGGGGCTTCCTGTGACCCCTCGGGTTGGATAATTTACTAGAGTGACTTTAGAAAATACTCTTATACTTATCTTTAAAGGACATAAGTCAAGCCGGGGGTGGTGGTGTATGCCTGTGATCTCAGTGGTTCGGGAGGCTAAGGCAGGAGGATCATGAGTTCAAAGCCAGCCTCAGCAACTTCAGGGGCTGGGATTGTGGCTCAGAGGTAGAGCGCTTGCCTAGCACGGGCGGGACCCGAGTTCAATCCTCAGCACCACATAAAAATAAAGGCATTGTGTTGAAAAGAAAAAAAAAAGAAGGAATAAAAACACTATTAAAAAAATATATATATATATATGGACTGGGAGTGTGGCTCAGTGGCAGAATGCTTCTGGATTCAATCCCTGGTAAGAGATAGATATAGTGTAAGTCAAGATTAGCCAATTGAAGGGACACACAGGATGAGGTCTGGGAGGGTTTCAGTAGCCCTGTTCCTGTGGGATTAGGGTATGTCACCTTCCTGTCATATCCATGTGTTCTCTGACCAGAAGCAACCCTGATTTGGTGTCCAAAGCCTTTCTTGGGTGTTATTATATAGGAGTGATTGCGCATAGTGATATGGCCGGTGATGACCCCCCTCGTCTCCCAGTCGGGGTGACTCAGAGCCCTTACCCTCTGATTACATGGTTGGTCTTTCTGGTGACCATCACTCACCTGAGTCAGCTCATCTTTTAGTAGAAACTCAGGTTTGATCCATGGGGCTCATGATAAGACATTCCTGTTACTCAGGAAATTCCAATGATGTAGTCTTCCTCACAGGAACCAGCCACTTAAATTCCTTACTCTACAGTATGTGAGTTACTTGTGAGACAGCAAGATTCAAGATGGTGGCCTGGGAAGGGGGCTCAGCTCTTTTCTGGTCTTGGTGTTGTTGCTCTTTCCCAGTGTTAGGCAGTAGCAACATGTCATTAGCCTTAGTGGTCCTAGCTCTCCTTTCTTTAGAACAACTTTATTTAGTTGCATGGTAATTAAACTGTCTTGGGGGATTTTGTAGTGACCTTCTATTAAATAAGCCAAAAGACAGCATTTCTGAGCACGAGTCTTTCAAAATGTGTTTTTGAAACTTCTTTGCCGTGCCGTATGATTACAAGAAGTTGCTAGCTGGCCATAGCTATCTTTCTGGCTCCCAGAGGTGCCCTTCCTAGTAAGTGCATTCCAGATCTGGATGACATGGAATGCTGCCTTAGGGGATAGACAGCTGACCTCTCTGCTTCCTCTATCCTGCAGTCTTGCCCACTGAAGGCCTGAGATCAGGTGCTCTTGCAGGCTTGGGGTCAGATCTTTTCTCCCTGCAAACTCAGTAGTTCTTGATTCCATCTATTCTTTGATGTCTGTAGCAAGTGTGGCTTCTGTAGTCCATCTCTTAGAGTCTTTTTCTTTCTGTGCTACTCCAGTACAGTTTGGCCCCTGCAATTACAAACTGAGTATTTTTAGAGACACTCCATCCTCAACTTCTGTGGTCTAGCATTACCCAGAAGGGGGAAGGAACATCTAGTTAGGACCTTAGAGGCTGAAGTACCTGAACTTAATATATAAGCTTGCAGGAAGTTGTGTGTGTGTGTGTGTGTACGCACAGGCATGCACTTCTAAGTCTTTGTGTGTGTGTGAAGTTGTAGCAAGATGTGTAACATAAACTTTACCATTTTCGAATATATGGTGGTGTTAAGTCCATTCACATTGCTGTGCAACCATCGGTCACCATGTTCACTTCCAGGTCTTTTTCCTCTTCCTACACTTAAACTCCATACCCGTCACACAGTTCCTTATCCCCCCCCCCCCCTCAGCCCTGCCACTGTCATTCTACTTTGTGTTTCTGTGAATTTGATGACTCGAGGCCCCTCATGTAAGTGGAATCCTTTTCTTTTTTCTTTTTCTTTTTTTTTTTTCTGTGGTGCTGGGGATTGAACCCAGGGCCTTGTGCATGTGAATCAAACACTCTACCAACTGAGCTATATCCCCAGCCCCAAAGTGGAGTCCTTTTCGATTGGCTTCTTTCACCTGGCCTAGTCACTTCAAGATTCATCTGTGTTGCAGAATGTGTCAGAAATTCTCTTCATTTTAAGTTTGAATAACATTCCTATGTATGTAAACACTGCATCTTGGTTTCTGTTTGTTTTTTGAGACAGGGCCTCACTGTGTCACCAAGGCTGCCCTCGAACTCCTGGGCTCACTCCATCCTCCCTCCTCAACCTGCCAAGTAGCTGGGACCACAGGTGTGCTCCAGCGTGCCCGGCTCCTACTGCATTCTATTTACCCACTCATCGGTAGATGTGCGCTTGGATTTCTCCCACCTTTTGGATATGGCGGATAGTGCTACTGTGAGCTTTGGTGTGTAAGTATCTATTCAGGTCCTTACTTGGAGTTCTTTGGGGAAATTTCTGGATTCTATCATTTTTTTTTTTAACACAAGAAAGTGGAAAAAAAATCCACTTTTTTATGCGATTAGTCTGACGTGGGAAATAGTTCCTTGCCAGAGTAGTAATAAACTCAGGTTACTTTCTGATGAGTGAGCCGACAGGAAGTTAGGAGCACACTGTTGTTATAGGTTGTTCATTGCCTAAGGGACCACCCCACAAATGGTGATGCTGAGCATGTAAATAAGGGTTCAGGTGTGGTTGGCCAGATGTATTTCCAGCTATCCCTCTGCTCATGATTAATCTGATACCGACATCCTTCATTGAGGTAGACGGTTTGCTGTGTGGTTGTATGACACATTTATTAAGAGCCTGGACTCTGGGATCAGACTATCTGTTCTACACCCCAGCAGCTCCATTACCAGCTGGAGAAATTACCTCACCTCATCACATCTCAGTTTCTCTATTCATATGATGGGGTTAGGAAGATAGTCCTACTTTAAACTCATAAGCCACTCTCAATAATACCTGGTTCACAGTAGGTACACAGTTAATATATTTTTCAACAGTACTAATTATTAACATCAGATTTGAAATAATTTTTTAAATTAACAATAAAATGTAGATTGCAGACACTGTGACAGTATGAAGTATCTAAGTATTCTTTTATCTTGCTGTTGGGGAATCTAAAGTGGTTCAACTTTTCTGAAAGCAATGTAGGAATGTTATTACTCCAGAAGCCTAAAAATATTCTTGTTTATCGGGTATTCTTTTATTCTAAGGAAATATGTTAAGTTACAAAAGGTAAAATTGGGATACAGCTTATTGTGTCATTTTTATAAGATAGAAAAACTGAAACTAAATGACTAGCAGTGTGGGGTTATTTAAGTAAAACATGATATGTGTGTGTGCAATGGAGTACCCCTTAGATTTTCAACTGTGGTCATAATATATTATCATGAAAAAGTGTTCAAAATGTATTATGAGCTGGGTGTGGTGGTGCACACCTGTAGTCTCTGCTGTTGGGAGGCCAAGGCAGGAGGATCGTGAGTTCAAAGCCAGCCTCAGCAATAGCGAGGCACTGAGCAACTCACTGAGACCCTGTCTCTAAATAAAATACAAAAGAGGGCTGGGGATGTGGCTCAGTGGTTGAGTACCCTTGAGGTCAATCCCTGGTTACCCCCCCCCAAAAAAAAAAAAAACATATATATAAAAGCAGCTGCAAGAAATCGGGTGCAATATTTTTGTGATATATGTGTGTAAATAATATACTGCAAAAGGACATGTTTGTGTGTAACACACACATCATCTTTTCCTATATATGGAGATAAATAGTGTGTGTATATGGAGATGCTTATTTCATATCTGTGAAGAGAGATTGTTCATACTAAACTCTTGCCAGTTGATAGCTGCAGGAGGTGGAATGATAACTGCTTTCTAAAATCTCTTTGTGTTTTTCCAGTATTTATTAAATTTTGGCATTGAACAAGTATTATGTTTCTGTTAGAGGGAAAAAAAAAAGGCACTAACTTCACTTGCAAAAAGAAGATGCTGTCTGGGTATCTGAGGTTCCAAGACAGCAGTCCTCCAGGGAGAACCCAGCAGAGGCGCCTGTCTTACAGTCTTACAGAGGTTTCCAGCACCCAGGAATGGACTCTCATCTCCCACCAGGGCTGGCCTTATACCTGGGCTGTGGTGGACATGCCTCAGGAGCCCTCTACAGAGTCCCAGCCTGATGACAGGGAGCCCTTCCAACTCTGGCTTCAGGGAACTCTAGGACAGGCTCCTCTCTTACGTGCCTTAGTCCTTGTGGTTTCTGGAAGACTTCCTGACTGGGGCCCTGCAGGGTGAACAGAGAGTGTTTAATCAGTCGTGATGAAAGCCAGCTTCTGCTGGATCCCATTTTTGGATCCCACTTTCCCGTCTCGTGAAATGTCCCTGGCATGCCTAACGCAGACATTTATGTCCTTGTAGTTTTCTGCATAAAATTTTCTAAGGGTAAAAATAAACTTGCTTGCTGTTCAGAATTGATCCTGAGCAATACATCTTCCGCTGGACATGGGCACCAGATGGTGTTGCACCTCCTGCTGGGCTGACGAACAGGCCTTGGCTACAAACACCTTGAATTGCTCTTGAATCTTTCTGGGCACCTTCAACGTGAAACTCTGCCGATGGCAATTTGCATTTGTTTCTTTTTTCTTTCCCTCTTTTGATTTGAGGAAGGAGAAAGAAGTGACACTTTTTGGAATAATTGTCTATAAGTTGGATTTGTTTTATTGTTGGTGTTATGAATATGTGTCCCTAAATAACTGTGTTATGCCAACTTCTGAGAAGAGTAAATTTTGTCTCAGAGTTGTCCACAGGATAGCTTGAAAACCCATCTCTGCCTCTGTGTTAGATGTAGCAGGATGCTGATAGGTAGTAGCTTGAGGAAGGCTAGAAGAAAATAGTGCACCACTTATTTTATGGTGTTCCATGTGCATTCTTGATTGTTCTGGCTGCAATCCTAGGCAGAGACAAGGAGGCAGGTAGTAGAGAATGTTACATCTAAGTCCATCCACTAATCCAGCAGTGGCTCGAAAATAAGATGTCTGTCCTTGCACTCAGCAGTAGTAATAAAGGTTTGACTCAACAGATTTTTTTTTTTTTACATTAATGATATTATGATTTGGATGTGAGATGTCCCCAAAAGCTCATGAGTGAGACAATGCAAGAAGATTTAAGTGGAGAAATGATTGGGTTGTGAGAGCTTTAACCTAATCAGTGAATTAATCCCCTGATGGGATGTCTTGAGTGGTAAATGAAGGCAGTTAGAGTGTGGCTAGAGGAGGTAGGGACATGACTTTGGGGTATCTATATGTATCTGGTGAGTGGAGTGTCTCTGCTTCCTAATCATCATGTGAGCTGCTTCCCTCTGCCACACTCTTGCACCTGAGGAATGGAATCTGCTGTCTATGGACTGAGACCTCTAGAACCTTGAGCTCCCAAATAAACTTTTCCTCTTCTTCAGTTATTCTGGGCAGGTCTTATAGTCACAGCAATGAAAAAGTGGACTAAGGAACATACTATGAAATAAATGAGGGGGGCTATTTAGAATCTAAGAGTTTTTGTCCCGTCGCTGTGTATTCTCTCTCTCTCTCTCAGGACACCTAATTACCTCAGGGTACAGAGGGGAGAGTACAGTCCTGCCCCAACCCTTGGGGTAGATTCTGAAGTTTCACATCCCTCACCAGGCTTTCCTGGAGAAAGGGTAAGTTCTCTAACTTCTTTAGATCTGCCCTCACTGTGTACACTGGTGAAGGCCTAGGTGGAGTATCGTCCATGTGTATTTATGCTTCTATTTCATGCTGTCTAGTATTTTTGTGGTTCAGATGGCCCATGCCACCACAAGAACCTCACTCCTGGAAATAAGTTGGGTGTTGTTTACCAGTATAGGTGGAGTGTCTTTTCTTCTAAATGCTTGGAACCGGAATGTTGCAGATTTGGGGAAATTGGCATATGCATAATGAGATATCTTGGGGCTGGGACCCCATGAAATTCATTTGTGTTTCATGTACCCCTTATACACATAGCCTGAAGGTAGTTTCATACAATATTTTCGGTGTGTCTGCTCTTAGGCTGCAACCCCTCATGTGAGGTAAGGTGTGGAATTTTCCTCTTGCATCACTTCAGTATTCAAAGCATTTCAGATTTTGGAACATTTTAGATTTTGAGATTAGAGATGCTTAACCAATATACAGTCTCTTGTCTGTGGGCTGAGTGGGTTGTTCAAGCTCTTGATGTCCAGCAATATTAACAGTGGGTGTGAGGGTCACATTTTATTTTCATGGCCTCCAATCTCAGTTGTGCCCCAGAACACAGTGGGATCATGCATAATTGAGGTTATTAGCCTCTAGGACAGAAACACCCTTTGGAATGTTGTTTTAAACACTTGGATTTCTTCAGGGTTCCTGAAGCATCATTCATCTCTCACCTACCCAAGAGGGTGACTTGAATCAGAATTAGCAGCTACTGTGCTAGACTTGACTCCTTATTAGTCATCCACAAATTTAAAAATCCTTCTACATTTTTCCACTTGAATTTGAAAGAAGTTTTAAGTATGCATTTTCTGTTTGGGAAAAGAATTTATCTTTTCTAAGGTCCTTTCATATTTCGATTTTAGTCTATGTAACAGTTCTTCTTCTTCTTTTTTTTTTTTTCTTAATCATACTGGGGATTAAACCCAGGGCTTCTGATGTGTTGCTAGCCACATGGTCTACCACTGAGCTACTTCCCAGGCCCTGTTTTCTTTTGTTTTTTAAAGATGGGATTGCCCAAGTTGATCAAGTTGACTTTGACCTTGGGATCCTCCTGCCTCAACCTCCTGAGTAGCTGTGATTATAGGCACGCACCACCACACCCAGCCAGTTCTTACTTTTTTTATCCTCTGAAGTTGGAGTATAATTTGCTAGAAGTTATGCTAGAAATTACGGAGGGAAGAAAGATCTAAGAAATGACCCAATAAATACCCTGTTCTTATCTCCCTAAGGGGAGGTAGCATGTGGTTTGTAATCCATGTAGTTCTGTTACCTTCACCAAGCTTCTTGTAGAATGGGTTTCCTTTACCCTCACTCTGGTAGGCATTCTTGTGCTCCCTTCTTTCTGCATTAAGTACAAGTGAACCCCATAGTAAGGTTTGCCTGGAGCCTTCGTAGGCATGATTTCTGTTTGGTGCCTGCTCTGTTTGCATGTTCATGGGTGTTTGTGTCCGTAAATTTTGGGAGAAAGTTTTGAACGGCTGGATGATCTCATTTCTGACAATTATTATTTAACTGTGATGGTTATGGTAGGAAGTAGACTTTATCCTGGGTACTGGGCTGCAAAAGCCAGGATGACCAGTGAGTCTGAGCTTTGCAGTCCCTGTAAACTGACCAGTTCTCCAGCTGGTCAGTTAATATATCTGAACATCTGGAACAAATGGCCTTAAAACTCCCTTCAC